GATTCTCATAGAATGGAGGTTGATTCAAATGGTGGTGACAATCCTTTAGTAAATGAGGGTAAACAAGTTGAATCTGATTTCCGATCCCCTCAAAAACAAGTTGAAGAACCTAAGACGGGTATGTGTTTTAGCTTAAGGGAAGAAGTGTATACATTATATGCCACATATGCTAAGCATGTTGGCTTTTCTATAGCTCATAGAGCACAACATTTTGGAGATGATGGCAAATTAAAAAACTTTGCAATTGAATGTTCTCGAACGGGGGAGAGAAAAATGAAATCAGAAGTGAACCCTTTGAAGCCATCTTTGTCTTCAAAAATTAGTTGCAAAGCAAGGGTACAAGGTACTCTACAAAAGAATGGGACATATATGTTAACCACAGTTAACCTTGAGCATAATCATGATTTGATTCCCACCGACTCTCGTCATTTTGCAATGAATAAGAAAATTCGTACTCCTGTGAAGAGAAGATTAGAAATCAATGATCAAGCAGGGATTGGGGTGTCTAGGAACTATCATTCAATGGTTGTTGAAGTGGGGGGATACGTGTCATTGACATTTGATGAGCGAGATGCAAGGAATTACATTAATAGAGCTAGAAGATTAAGGCTTGGTGAAGGTGATGCCGAATCACTTCAAAGTTATTTTATGAGGATGCAAGCACATAGTGAGAAATTCTTTTATGTGATTGATGTTGATAAGGAGTTTTGTATTAGAAACTTGTTTGGGGCTGATGCAAGGAGTCGGGCTATGTATGAATCATTTGGAGATGTTGTTTCATTTGACACAACTTATCTGACGAACAAATATGACATGCCATTTGCTCTATTTGTAGGAGTCAATCACCATGGACAACTTATTTTGCTTGGTTGTGGATTGTTATCTAGTGACGACACCGACACATTTGTTTGGCTATTCAAGTCGTGGTTAAGTTGCATGTCAAATAATCCTCCAAAAGCTATCATAACAGATCAGTGCAGAGCTATGCAAAATGCTATAGAAATTGTCTTTCCATAGGCCCAACATCGATGGTGCTTATGGCATGTAATGAAGAAAATATCGGAGAAGTTGAAAGGAAGTTGGCTATGCAAAATGCAATTTATGATTGTTTGACAACAGATGAATTTGAGGAAAAATGGGAAGAGATGCTTACTAAATTCAATCTTTATGATAATGAGTGGTTGGGGGTACTATATCATGAGCGGCATCGATGGGTTCCTATATATGTTAAAGACATTTTTTGGGCTGGCATGTCAACAACACAACAAAGTGAAAGCATGAATGCATTTTTTGATGGATATGTCAACCCGAAGACTACATTAAAACAATTTGTTGAACAATATGACAATGCGTTGAGAAGTAAGGTAGAGAAAGAGAAGAAATCAGACTTCAAGTCTCGACACAAATTGTTTGATTGTCTAACTATATATGGCTTTGAGAAGCAATTTC